TCTATGGATGCAAGAAAACAACTAAATGTTTGTCTGTGATGCCTGAATATCTGTTGTTTCCCTACAACTGTGGGACAGTACCAGTGGATTAGTGGGCAGAGCTACATTAATCCAAGGTTTGGCTTCCTGGGTTGTTTGTTGAAATTCTTCCATTTGTTGTTGTATTATTCTGCAATAGATGCCAGTAGAGCCACGCAAACACACAAAAAGTAGGTTTAATTGGGACCGGGTGTTGTTGGTCAGATGAGACAAACATTGATTTGGTAAGAGACCCTTTATGTGGGTTTGGTCTGAAACAAGAGATGAATATATCAGAAAAGGATGCTTCTAAGTACGGTGGAGGAGCCCTGATGCTGTCAGCTTATTTCTGTCTCAAAGGTCTTGGTTAATAAATGTCTCTCATCATAAACCTTTGAAATACTCTAGCAGTAAAAGCAAAATGAGTCTCCATTGGGTCTTTCAGCAGATTGTTCCAAAACACAAGATCAAATCATCTGAGTAATTGTTCAAAGGATAAGATCTATGTTTTCGCATGGCCAGTGTCAGAGCTAAATCCTATCCTCAAAGATCCCTTCCTCTGCATGTGAAGCTTTATGAAACATTATGGAAGACTAAGTGCTAACTATTAACTGACTAATGAGAAACATCTGTGTTGCTGTTGTGGTTTAGAGAGTTGTTATGAAGTAATTGTTATGAAAGTAAAGCTGTAAAGCTGTGGATAGTTTGCTGTTGTGTTTTTCTTTTTTCTTTAAAAAAAAGGGGAACCATCCTTATTTTTTTCCAAACTACAAAACCACAAACTTCGAAATAAGAAATAATTTCTCAATCTTAGCTGCCGGCCCTCCTACCTCCACCCCTTCCAGTTCCCCCCAGAGGCAGGCGCGTGCGTCAGAGAGGGGTTGGAAAAGAGGAGAAGTGCAGCCTTTCGACTTTCAGGAAGGAAACACATCTGGGGAATAAGGAAAGAGAGAACGGGTGAAAAGAGGAATTAGAATGGAGGAAGAGGTAGCAGGCCAAAAATAGAGAGCCTCTGTCTTGCCAGTGGCCCTCCCACACCTTCTGCCACTTAAAGCTTAGTCAGCCTTGACCTATACCTTAGTGGGTGACTAAGTTCTCCACTGAACCCCTTAAAACTCACGAACCTCTCCTCCTCCAGGGTTCCCCATTTCAGATTATCTAGCTGGTCATATTGGACTCCTCTTTTGGGTGTGCATGACTCAAGATGAAACATGTTCTTGGATATAAATAACTAAGCATGTTTGAACAATAACACTTAAACTGATACAAAGGATTTGGGAAGCTTTAATATGGAAGTCTGAGAGACATAAATTAAAGTTATGAGAACCGCATCAAGCCAAAGAGAGCTGGTAAACATTTACATTCCTCTGGTTGGAGAACCATCTAGAAAAACAGGAACTCCAGCCACACAAATATTGTGATGCCAGATCTGAGGTGATATTCTGACCAGACTGGTTTGGATGGGAAGGACCGGAAACAAGGGCGATTTTTTACCTCATGCAGGTGTTCAACAAACACACACACACACACACACACACACACACACACACACACACACTGGACGTGGTAAAACCCACAGTTTGGGTTTGGCAAAGCAAACAGGAAAAAGTGGGTAGAGTTTCAATGTGATTCGCAGTTTGATTTGCGACAGGAACAAAGAATGCAGGACAGATGCAGGAGAGGACCGTGAGATATAGAGAGGAGAGTGGAAAGGGCGTACGTGTTGGGCAGCATGTTAATATTAGAGGAGGGAGGATCCTGACAGAAACCTGTGAAAAGTCTGCTAAGCTGGAAATCATGAGGAGTTGTGAAATAGTCATGATGGTATCCATCAACAACACCTTGCAAAAACCACAAACTTTAACATTATTTCATTGGGACTTTCTACACACCCACTCAACCTAGCAGAAAATATTGAAGTGGAAAAAAAGGAAATGCGGGTTTTTTATTTAAAAATAAAAAATCTAGAATTATGAGTTGGACATGTATTTAGGTCCCTTATCATCATAAAAATGGTGCAATCAAACTGTTTGATTATTACATAGAGACAGACTGCCATCAGCAAAAACTAAACACAAATGAAGCACAATATTCTTATTTGATATGAGTGGGAGGATAAACAAATCTACCATTGGAATAACAGTTTTGCACCCAAAAAAAAAATCTCAGTTATATTATTTAATTATCTTATTTATTATTTCATTTGAGAGACAGATAATTTAACTTACTTGCTAAAATAAAGGGCAAACACAATTATTTAGATCAATATTTGACCTATTCTTAGATGACCCTCCAGCCATGTATGTCACAGAGGTTTGAGCAAACATCATATTGAAGGCCAATGAGCAAACAAAGGTATGGTGGCGGCATCATGCTGTGGGAGTATTTTTTTTTCCAAAGAAAGGACAGGAAAACTACACAAAGCAGAAGGAGCTAAAACACATAGAAATAATGCAAGTAAACCTGATTAAGATAGATAGATGGATAGATAGATAGATAGATAGATAGATAGATAGATAGATAGATAGATAGATAGATAGATAGATAGATAGATAGATAGAT